TTAGGATCCAGATATGTAGTATTTATGATGTGTAACCTGGAGAGAAGATATGATGCGTACCATTACATACTTAATCTATACTACTTGCACAGGAAAAAGAATAACACGCAACCCTCTCTGATTCATAACAAAATATCATGTTGCTAAAAGGATGGGAATATATAAATTGCTAAGCTTGGCGATCCGCACAGCACATTACCAACAACATCCAACTACATTGCGACGTCTAAAGTTTCATTTTGTTGGGCCCTCGTAGAACAGTTTGTTCACGACTAAAAAAATGGAAAAAAAACCTGCAGTCAAATCATATGATTCGTTCGAAACTTTTGACAGCGCCATGAGTCGGGGCAATCAAGCCAAAATTTCTTTTCCGTTGGGATCCAAGACATGTACATTGAGTGGAAGTTCATAAAAACAATTGCATCGCTATTCAAGCGCAACCTAAGGTCGAGAGAGAAAGAGCTTGTGGAACCCTACATCAAGACTCCAGAATAAGCAATTTGAATTAAGTAGTTAGTGCTATTACTCCGTACATCATCCCTAAACTACTGTTTACTGAGAAGATATCTATCTATCTATTTTGCGAATTACTTTTTCACCGTGTACGACGCCCCAGGATGCAACGATTCTCGATTGGGAAAATCGGCCGAGTAGGATCTCCAATAGGGAAATGCTCCTTCTTTTTGCGTGAGCTCCCAGGCTTGATCGAACGCCTCGAGCAATTGATCGGATAGAGGACCCTGTGTTGCCGCCGCCGTACAACTGTCCAAATTTTCGTCCAACTGCGTCAAAGACGAGGCTCCGATCAAAATGCCATCGATTTGCGGTCGTAATTGGGAATGGCGCAAGAGCCATCGATAGGATGCTTCGACCATGGATATGCCTTCTTTTTGACAGGCCTGATCGATCAATTGAACGGCTTGAAAATTTGCGTCCGTATAAAATCGTGGCAAATAATTGGGATTGTCCTTGAACCGTCCGGCGGGGACCACACCATTGCCTTGTTGCAATTCCAGTGAGCAACGGGGCGAAGGATAAGGACAAATTTACAATGTTTGTTTAATACGAAGAATCGTCTTCGACAATCATCATGATGTAGATCCTTGATAAGAAGCCGTGGAGGTTCAATGTGTTCTTGCAAGAGAAAGGGTTCCCATCTCGAGGAGATTGACACAGAGACGCAATGTGTCTTGCTGGTGGATCAATTCGTCAATGCATTGCAGACTATCCAGTAACGAATGTTCCGTGTCGGGTTGATGAAGGTAATATTCTCCCAGACTTGAGAGTGCCATGGCATCCAACGACGTGGCCAATTGCTCTTGAATGCCTTTTCGTGAAAGACCTCCGGGAAGCGCCGGATTGGCCTTGCTTCCCACCACAATACTGCTCTTACTGTCAGATACTGATAATTTATCCAGAACGGCTCCGACCATGAGCTCCGTCTTGCCACCGGCGTAGACTCGTGCCGTGTCCAATAACGGCACCTTGTCGTTGTCGGATGTTTCTTGGAATTGCAAGAATTTTTGAACCATGGCCAATGCCACCGATTCGTCCACGACGGAACTCGTTTGACCCGACCAAGCAAAGGTCATACTGCCAAGGTAGATGCGGGGAATCGGAGTCCTCATCGTCACAGAGTATTTCTTATTTGTTCTATGAAATAAAATGTAACACTGATGGAACATAACAGAAGCTAAAAACGGGTGTACGGAATCCGGATCCAACGAGCCAAGCGAGCCAACGATCGAGCCGAGGTTGCTGTCAGAGCTGTTGTGAGAAAGACAACCAAGCGGCGCCGGCATTCGTCATCCTGGTCACGTCATTCGATTGGTGTGAATGATTTGAATTCATGAGTGCGACGTCAAATTTCATGCCGGCAAAGTTTTATGTTGCGGTTGTACTGTACAGTAGCTACTCTTGCGTACGCTTCTACCCCATCAATAAGATATCATCTCAATCTCAGTATCTTTCATATCTCATGGACACCACATGTACTAGCAGCTATTGGAAGATACCCTACCACTAACTATCATATGCCCACAAAGACAGTGAGGAGCCACCGCCAAAGCCCAAGAAGGCAAAGGTGCAAAGCCAAAATTGACCAAACAAAGATGATGTGGTGGAGGAGGCACCCCAGAATGGGGATTTGAAGTACTTGGATGTAGATGGTGATGTGGAAGACAGTGGGTACTAGCTAGCTGACCTCACTACCAGTACGTACCAGTGCCCACATAGTAGTATTAGTACTAGTAGCAGCTTAGGATTTGAGACATTGGTACTCGTAGCTTATCTTACTGGTTTGGGAAATCTGAGTATCTAGGTTACGTTGTCTTTTACAACATTTCTGTAAACTTGAGTACTGTACGGTACTTGGTATCTAAACCCACTTACCGGTATCTTAACAGTGAGAGCGAGGATTGCACCACCAGCTACGGTGGCTTGCCGGTACTCGAGCAGGTGCGCGTGGCTAGCGTGACGTTGACGTTGACTTCCTCTCACAAAATTCTCAGATCCGATCCGGTTGAAGAGAAAAAAGCCCCAAAGACAAGCACACTTTCGGATCGTGAAACGTGAAGCACTCTGAGAACAAGCAACAGAATTGTTCAAGCCAATAGTCATTCCTTCCTTCCTGCTGCCAGTAAGAGTGAAAGAGAGACCATGGACACTTCCAGCTTGCACCATCCACGCATCCGTAGCGGCTCTATTTGCGACCATGACTCGCAGTCCATGACCATCTTTGTCGTCGACAAGCGCAGCTCTTCGCATTTGCTCTTTGGCGTGGGGCACACCGACACGGTGCACTCGCTCAAGTCCAAGATTGCCGATCGTCGTGGCATTCCCTTTGAACAACAGCGTCTCGTCTTTGGAGGACAGCAACTCCAAGACGATGCCAAGTTGTCGGATTACAAGATTCGAGCACAATCTTGTATTCATTTGGATGGTATGTAATGAGGGAAGTACGTTGAGAACGCGATAGAGAAGAGAGCGCTACTAGTACGAACGAGATGAGGACGTCGTCGTCTCAAGCAAGCACGCAACCAAGAAACATACACAAACAACATGATCACACACAATTTTCAACGCAGGCTATTACGTATTCAATTCACACACTCATGGTCGGATCGGATCGTGGAGACCTGGCAAGGGCAGTTGGAGCCAGTGGATCCGTTCGAACGACCAAGACAATGCAAGAGGAAAGCATTTCTATCACAATGAAAGAAGCCGCACTATATATGTCTCCTGTCACACATGGATAGAAATGTATCTTTTATATAGAATGACAAATTCATCACTACTTACTTCTCGTCGTTCTTCTTCCTTCAGTACGGTAGGACTTGTTTTGGACTGCTTTGCTTGACCTATTCGCTTCTTTGTTGTTGCGAATTGACTAAAGTAGAACGCTGCAGCATCATTGCATTGCATGCCTGTTCTGTGAGGATCATTTTGATAGAATGATCTATCATAGGTTCGCTCGAATTTGCTTGTCGCCTCTTTTGGCATTCTGCAGCACATGGACGCCCGCAATTGTCCCATTACGCCCTTCTCCACGGTGCCTCGAGATGATGGTTGGGCCAAATCTAGCCTTGCAGTACCTTGGTCGGTGCAATGGTGCATTGGAAGCGGCTAGTACCGGTACTAGTGGACCAATGTAATGCTGTAATGGAATCTACTAGCTAGCTAGCTCGCACTTGCCTCATTTGGCATTCCGGTACATGTGGAGTCCTTTCATAGACTGGGTGGGCCACTCGACTCTCGTCCTGGCGCATGTATGCCATAGCGGTTTTGTGGAGAGTCACTCGACGAAAAGAGCTTGGTTATTATGATGCTCCAGCCAAATTGACGCAAGACTACCGTCATTACCGTACTCTATCTGGCATGTGCCTGTCTGTGGCAGTATTATTGCCAGCCTCTACAACTGCTGCAGGTCCCGGCAAGTGGTAGTGAGAACATCTAGTTTGGGTGCCATGATGCATGCATGACATTGATGATAGCGAGACTCGGAACTGATATTTGATCTCCTCTCCAGCGATGACAGCCACGTCTGTTGAGTGAAAGTTGAAGGTGGTTGCCGCTTGATTGGAAGCAAACCAACACCAGAAGAAGGTGTGGCAGCCCCTGACATAGCCATCCAAGGCAAGGGGCGGATGATGAGAGATCAAATAGCAATGCTACGGGAGTCAAAGAGGCATACACAGCTGCAGGCATATGCAACATGACCAATCGACATAACCAATCCACCATGACACCTTCAATTCTCTTAGTATCTTTTGACAATCAAATGTGTTTCTTCTCTTTTCATCTATGTGGTACGAATGATATCTTTGTTTTCTGGAATCAGCGGAATCAAGACCAAGTCCAAATTTCTTTTCGCCTGTTCCTTCTTCGTCGTGGTACCTCTCACTGCCACTTTTCTTTGAATGTCCACTCAAATCCAATTTCGTCCAGTTTATCCATCTTTCCACTGCTCAAGGTGCCCTTCATGTGCTCATGTCGTTGGCAACAAACCCACGAAGCAAGTTGTGGGTTGTTCCGAAAGCCCATTGGAACCAAACAATCGCCAGCGCGAATCTTGTAGGCCACAAGCTCTTCAAACTTGCTCTCCCACATGGACTCCCAGATACGATCCATCATGGCCAACGGGTCTTCCCCTGTCTCTTCGGCAAAATCCACGGAAATGGGACAGCCGAGACCGTTTCCCATTTCAATCATGTGGTTGTTGTTGGAAGCACTGGTCGTTGTTTCGTTGTGCCCATAGTAGCTGTGGAACCACCCGACATTGTCAGCTCCATATGCCATGCGGACCGTCCACTTGTTGGAGGCAGAGCGATGAAGAGCAGCGGGGAGGACAAAAGATTGGACCAAGGGTGCCGGGGTTAATGTGATGAGGAACGCAACACAAAGAAACGCAGATTGGAAGCACATTTTGTGTTGTGTAGATGGATATAATCAATGGAATTGAATAGTATAATACTTGATGTATTGTGTACGTTATTATTGTTGATGAGGCGAGTATAAAATCAGGTTATGACCAAATAATGTCTTTCTCCAGGTTCCACAAATCATGCCAGCTGCAAAAATAGGATTGGGGCGGGCGCGTCATTGGCTTCCTTGGGTGTGATTGAATTCTATCATTCGATTTGCACCAGAATTTATCAGATGCAGCAAAAAGTGAGAGTGCCTAAATATTTGCTAGCTAGCTAGAGTTCTGGTGCCGAGAATTCAATCATTCGATTGAATCGAATCAGAATTTATCAAATGCAGCAAAATGTTAGAGTGCTAAACAGAGACATGTGTCAAATCGAATCAGAATCAGAATGATCAATCGATCAATCAATGTGAGGACCTTAGCCGCTCAACTGGCTAAAGCTCTCTTTAAGCCCGTCTGGCGGTAAAACGGTCGGACTGGCCATGGCCGTAAAGTATCTACTGGTACCAGTACCAGTACTCTCCAGAGCGACATTGATATCGTAGCAAGTAGCAAGTAAGGGCATTCTCTAACTTTACTCGTCCTAAAACTCGTCCTAACCTTACTCGTCTTAACTTTAGGACGAGTTTTAGGACGAGTTGGCAGTCTCTAAAAAATGCGTCCTAAAATCGGGCTTAGATAGGACGAATTTTAAGACCAGAGTTAAGACGAGTGCAGTATCTAAAAAACACGTCCTAATCTTCGTCTTAACGTTTCGTTCGTTCGTTCGTTCGTTCGCTCCGTGTTTCGCCATTTCGCCAGTTCTTCCTCTTCATTCAGCTTGATTGCCATTGAAATAAAGCACTCACAGTGTACTGACAGAGTTGAGTTGAGTTGAGTTGACCATGGTGACCACTGATCCTCCTGATGAGGAGGATTTCATTGAAAGCAGCAACCGTAGTGCGAAGAAGATTGCCGCAATCAGAGCTCGTGAAAGAAACGCCGCCGCCACCAAGAAGAAGAAGCAAGAGAAATTCAAAGCTGCTGTACTTCATTCTGAGGATGATTCCTCCTCTGCAGAGGAAGAAGAGAAGGAGCCTCCTGCGAAGAAGGCACGAGGAAAGGAACCGGGTGGTAGAAGAAGTGATATTGAGGAAGACGACTCATCTGATGACGACAACGGCAGCGACAACAAATCTGAAGAAGAGCTGGAAGAAGAAGAGGACGAGTCAGCAGAAGAACAAGTGCAGCAAGAGTCGGACCCACCAGCCAAGCAGCACAAAGGGAAAAAGGCTGCTACCGGACGCAAGGGCCGCAAAAAGGGTGACGGCAAAAAGGGTGACGACAAGCAGGAAGCCAAGAAAAAGCGAGATTCAAAATTTAACTTGGACGATGACTACTGCGTCTGCGTTGCTGTCGTCAATCGTCTTGTCGTTGAGGGTACCGCAATAGCCAAACGCCGCATGCCAAAACCAACAATGGTAATCGCTCATGGCTTCCAATACAATAGTAGGTTTTCCTTTGGAACCGAGATAGTTTCCTTGCCAGCCAACCGGACAATTCTTCCAGTGACAATGCATACAGTCAAGGGAACCAAACATCCCGTCGATTCCATGAGCGGTCTTGTGGCATTGAACAATTTTCTTGATATCGGAAGATGTAGGGATGCGCAGATATTCAGATGCATAATGTTAGAAATTGCACGATCGAATTGGATGCAACAGTCTCGGGTGAATGTTTGTGACATTTGGAAATAGTCGACAAAGCAATGGGTACCCACACCATAGGCACGGGTCTTCAATGGCAAAAGCATACGTGCTTCCATAGAAGATCCTCCCATCTAAGAAGCGCATTTTGGGCAAAGTGGATATTATGGGGAAGGTGCACAAAACGCTGGATCAAATTTTAGCGACTCATTTATGTGGGTCCCTTATCATGTCGAAGGGCATTATTTTACCCACATACGCCAAATCATGTACTCGTTCACAGCTCATATTGCCCAAATGAACAAACATAATGTCCCTGCGAGTCCGTCATATTTTTGTGGAAGTGCGTCGAAAAAGTGTGCTCCGTACAGAGATCTGGCGGTACGCCCCTTTATGCCAGTGCGTGGATATTTGGCGCAAATGCCTCCAAAAAGTGAGCTTGGGTAAGTGATAGGACGGCACGTAGCTTTGCCGGAGTCCCCGGACATTTTGCGCAAGTGCATACAAATAGTGAGCACAAGCCGCAAAGGGGCATCACAGAATTTTACTCAATGGCGCTGAGATCGCATGTAAGACGCCAAAGATCCCGTGCACAAGCCGACACAACCATACCTACATTATCCGTCATTACTTTGCCCAAGTGAACATGACTACGACAACAATGACAAAGCAGTTTACAACTAGATAATCGTTAACTTAGTTATTAGCTCAGAGAACAGTACCATTTAGTAGGAGAGGGCAATAGAAAGCAGGGCTGAGCAGAAATGTCTTTGGTTGTTGCAGAAACAGTTCGCAGAAAGTCACAGGAACGTGACGCAAACACTGCAGAAGAAATGTCCAATTGGATACATGATGGCAAGAAGATGGCTGCTGTCGACAAGGCGCTTGCCGAATTCGACTCCAATCATTCGGATGGAGAGATTTCCGTCTGAAGATTAGGCAGGATGATGATTCAAACGAACCATGTTCCGATTCTCATACCTAAGTGATGAAGTTATCTCACTAAATAGTAAAACAGATTTGTTTGCAACTAACGAGGTCTAACGGCAAATAGATAATTGCCTAGTAACTGATCAATTAGAATACTGACGATCCTGTCGGCATCGTTAACTTCGTCCGTGGACAATCAACTCATCAATGTCGCAAGACAAGAGACATAGAAACTATCGTCTATGTTAGATTCAACATGCGAGCGAAAGGGAAACAAAAACCGTTACACTCTGTTGATTACTGAAAACAGAAGCATCCGAAACCTTAGCGTGAAATAGAATATAGTTTCGTGTCTTCGAACAGGCCTACTAGGTAGGCTTCAGAGGCCTCCTGCAAGGGCATGACCGCAGTGGACTGGTAACGAAGATTTGACTTGTAATCCTGGGATTTCTCCCGCACCAGACGCTGGAACGGCAGCTTCTTGATGAGGAGGTCGGTGCTTTTCTGAAACTTACGAATCTCTTTCAAGGCCACAGTACCGGGGCGGTACTTGTGGGGCTTCTTGACACCAGTGACAGTTCGTCCACTTTGTCTTGCCGCTTTTGTGCTCAGCTGCTTCTTGGAAGCTTTGCCCTCTTGCTCCAAGGTACTACTCATACTAAGAGTATCCTCTAGGGACATCGATAGGGGCGGTCTCATAGTGTGCTTGTTTTCTGTGGACTGGTATTATGATGAGAGGATAATTGAGTAGCCGACGCAGCTGTTTCGCGACGAGTTGTAAAGGGTAATACTACTACGATCTCCTTAGCAGTAAATTGCCAGTATTCGCATCAACACGAGAATTATTTAGGCTGAGTAATGTACATGCAGTCAAAAGTGAGCAATGCATAAGAAACTGGTGGCCTGCGGATTGGTATACAATAAACAAGCATAAAGCATGAGGTGCGATACAGATGCCAGTCAATTTTCCGAAGGGTAATAAGGAATATTCACATCAAGCTCTGCGTGTATCCTACAGAAATAAGTTTTCGCACTTCTCAGCTTAGTCTTAATGATGCTTATCATGGGAGTGGAACCATGCATTTTCCCCGGCGAAAGAGAACAAATCCAATAGAAAGGAGAACCTCTCCATTTCTGTTTCTGGGTGGGTGGGGGGTCCAGTACGACAATGCAGATAGTCTCAAGAAGATTCTTTATACGACATACGAACAAGTAGGCTTAAGGCAGATATGCCAGAGTCGAAATCCTTTAAACAAGGAGGAGCAAGGACTGCCTCATGCCTTTTCCACCAAGTGCTTCGACCGGTCGGGACACTTTAGGAAAGTGGCATGGACGACTACGAAGTAGAACTTCGTCCGACGCTAAATCCTATTAAACTAGTGCTCACCCTACTACTCCACGGGTCCATAAAAACACTCTTAAGAAGGAGGTTGGACGTCTCTACGAGGCAGGAGTACTCAGAAGGTAATCGTTCCAGTGGGCGGCACCCAACTTTCATCAATTCCAAGAAAGAGGGATTTGCACGATTCATCTCTGATTTCGGGAACCGAACAAAAGGATTAAGCGTAAGCCTTATCTTATCCCAAAAATACAGGAACATGCTCTTGAATCTAGATGGATTCAAGTAAGCTACTAGTCTCGACTTGAACATGGTATACTATCTCATCGAGCTGTTACCTCACTCGAAACATCTGACATGCATCATGGGGAAAGTCGAGTACCAGGAGGTTGCAATGGGCTAATGTAATTAGTCCCGGCATCTTCCAAAAGGAAGATGAAGGCACGCATGCTTGACTTAGAAAATGTCCGTGCATTCGTTGACGATCAACTCATCATAACGGACGTCGATCTCGCTGATCGCGTTGAACAGTAGGATGACCTTTCCACAAAGACTCCAAGAAGTCAGGATTGAAATCAAAACACTCACAAGGCCTTCCTCAATAGGAAGAAATGGAGTATCTAGACAATTGGACTTCTCGAAAAGGAAGCCAACTCTTAACCAAAAAGATAACCAACGCGATCCAGCTATCGCTCTTCCTACCAACAGAAAGTAACTTCGTAGATTCATTGGACTAATGAACTACCAAGGTCTGCTGCAAGACAGCAGACGGAGTAAACATCGTTCTGAACCAGACGTAGCTTACCCAGCATCCATGACAGGTCGTCATGGACAGAGAAAGTGAGTTCCGCGCAGAGGTAAAGAAGACTCTCCGGGATGAACTGGACTTCGTCGCAAGTTACGCGTGCGTCAATCGTGACAAACTTCACCACATCCGTTTCAAAGAAACCGGAAATACATTAAAGAACGTCACCAACGACTTATGCAGAAAAACACCGATAAGGAGAAACCGGCACGTGTCCCTCATCAACACCATGTCCGC